GTGTAGTTGAGAGGAAACATGGACATATTTTAGCTGTTGCAAGGGCATTAAAGCTTCAATCAGGGCTGTCAGATGGCTTCTGGGGGGATTGCATATTACATGCAGTCTACATAATTAATAGGCTACCCTCAGCAGCCTTGCAGGGTCAGATTCCTCATCAAATGCTATTCAAAAAGATACCTCAATACTCTCATTTCAGGGTCTTTGGGTGCCTAGCCTATGCTGTCTTGCATAAAGGTCACCTAGGAAAGTTCTCACCTAGGGCCAGGAAGTGTCTCTTCCTTGGACATCCTAATGGGGTAAAAGGATACAAACTATATGATATGGACTCTAGAGAGGTTTTTATTTCAAGGGATGTGGTATTCTATGAGCATGTCTTCCCCTACAAAGCAGTCAAACAAACTGACAGACAAGGTTCTTTTCAAGATCTTATTCTGCCAAATGACATCAACACTATGGAAGATATTGAACCTCAGAGGGTGGTACAAATAGAAGAAAGGAATTACATTGGCCCCATAGATCATAATGAGCCTCCAGCAACTGATAGTCAGGATGACTCTAATCCAGTGCAGACTGATCTCATTCCAGAACAGCCCAGGAGGTCCAACAGACAAACATTCTGACCTGTTTACCTGAGGGATTATGATTATAACTTGCCTACTGCTAGAACTTCCCCCCCACACTCTATCAGCTGTGATGTCTTATGAGAAGTTGTCTCCCACATTCAAGACTTTTGCTGCCAATATCCTTAACATCAAAGAACCCAGATCCTATAATGAGGCAATCAAACATGACTGTTGTAAAAGTGCCATGCAAACAGAGATAGAGGCTCTACAAGCTAACAACACTTAGGAATTGACAGACCTTCCTCATTCAAAACAACCTATTGGATGTAGGTGGGTCTACAAGGTAAAACACAGGGCTGATGGCACAGTGGAAAGATGCAAGGCCAGGTTAGTTGCAAAGGGATACACTCAGACTTGTGGAATAGATTATGTTGATACTTTCAGTCCAGTTGCAAAGGTGACAACCATCAGAACATTGCTAACTGTGGGATCTGCAAAACGGTGGCAATTACATCAACTTGATGTCAATAATGCCTTTCTACATGGAGACCTCAATGAAGATGTTTATATGAGTCTTCCACCAGGATTTGTTCCTCAGAAACCTGGGCAAGTATGCAGATTAAAAAGATCCCTCTATGGACTGAAACAGGCAAGTAGACAGTGGAATGCCAGGCTGACTACTAAGCTGATCAATATGGGGTTTGCACAAGCAGTGTGTGATAACTCTCTATTCACTAGGGGATCTGGTGATGACTTCATTGCCCTCCTGGTGTATGTGGATGATGTGATCCTGGCTAGCAGTGACACAACTCAGATCCAACAGATCAAAGATCATTTACACTCAGTATTTCAAATCAAGGACTTGGGAAATCTAAAGTATTTCCTTGGATTGGAGGTTGCTAGAAACCACACAGGCATTACCTTAACTCAAAGGAAATATGCCTTGGATCTTTTACAGGATGCAGGATTCCTTGAGAGCAAGCCAGTCAAATACCTTATGGTTCAGACAAAAAAACTCTCCAAGGAGGACAGTGAAGTACTAGAGGACAATACTCAGTATAGAAAGTTGGTGGGCAAACTTCTATATTTGACCATTACTAGACCTGACATATGCTTTGTTGTGCAGCAATTGTCTCAGTTTTTAAACAAACCTACTGCATTACATCTTCAAGCAGTTCACAGAGTCCTCAGGTATATTAAAGGATGCCCTGGACAAGGCCTATTCTTTCCTACAGTTTCAAACATGAAGTTGAGTGGTTTTGCTGACTCAGACTGGGCAGCCTGTCCTGATACAAGGAGATCTGTCACTGGTTTCTGTGTGTTCTTGGGAGATGCCTTAGTGTCCTGGAAATCAAAAAAGCAAAGCACTGTTTTTAGATCCTCTTTTGAAGCTGAGTATAGAGCTCTTGCTCTTGCTGTTTGTGAAATACAATGGTTACTCTATCTTCTTCAAGCCCTTCAAGTCCAGATAGTAGAAGCAGCCATCATATTCTCTGATAGCAAATCTGCAATTGCAATGGCAGAAAATCCAGTCCTTCATGAAAGGACTAAGCATATAGAAATAGACTGTCACTTGATAAGAGAAAAGATCCAAAAAGGCCTTATAAAGCTTCTCCATGTTCCTACTGAACACCAAACAGCAAACATCTTGACGAAACCTCTGCAGCCCATGCCTTTCCAAAGGTTTGTTTCCAAGCTGGGGCTCCATTCCATGTACTCCCCAGCTTGTGGGGGGGGTATTAGAGGAGAAAGGGTGATTAATTAGTCTGTTAAGTCTGTTTCTAATCAGTTGCTTCTGTTATTTCTGATTAGTTAGTCCAAGTAGATGTTGTATATAAAGCTAGTTGCTTCTCTTCTTTTCTGATGATGAAATAAACCAATGTAACAGTACTTCTTCTTCTATATTCTATCTCTGCTCCTTTCTTTCTTCAATTCTTTGTTCTGTAATAGTATCCCTGAGCAGACCGCCACACCCAGCAGCACCCGAGTACGTAGTTCTTCCTGCTGCCATCAATGTTAAGCTTGAGCCATCCATTAGTAGGTTTGTTCCAGCGAAGAAGATTGCGTGATCTCATGTTCATAGGCCAAGGATCGGATCTCCTTACTAAAACTCTAGAGGTTTCAGCAAGCTATAGGTTAATCCATCTTAGTTTCTGGTCTTTATAAATGCTATTCCCATTAAAAATCTCGTCACTTCTCCACCTAGCAATTATACTGTGGACCGCGGTGCACAATGCATCGTACACTGCGGTCCAAAAACGGCGTCGTTTCTTTAAGTAAAGAAACAGCGCGTCGTCACAGTTAACAGAGCGCGCATGTTTGATGTATTAATTACCAACTAAACTACAATGTATCTAAATTGACACTGCCTCACGTATTATTTTTATATTATCAAGTGAAACTGCAATTGAAATAAAATGAAACTGTAGTTGTGTTCAAATGACACTGCAGTGTATACAAAATGAAACTGAATAACAATTTCACGTATTTGAGTGTATATTGCCCAGCGAAACTGTAGTTATATCAAAATAATATTGTAGTTGTGTTGAAATGAAACTGCGGTGTAATATAAAATGAAACTGAATAACATTTCACATATTTGAATGTATATTGTGCAATGAAACTGTAGTTATATCGAAATGATCATGTAATTATGTTTTAATGAAACTATGGTGTATATAAAATAAAATTAAATAACATGTTTACATATTTGAGTGTTATAATATCGAATGAAACTGTTGTTATATTGAAATGAAACTGCAGTGTATACAAAATGAAACTGAATAATAGAGTTACTTTTTGTGGAACGGTGCAGACCGACGCGAAACGGGTGCCTTTTCTTTTCATTAAACAAAACGATGTTGTTTAAAAGCTTGGTGCATAATCCATTATGCACCGCGGTGCACGATATAATTTGCCACCTCTAAATCCACCACAAAACTCTATAGCATCTTTGGGTAGTTATCTAGAACATTCTATATACACTTTTGGACCTAGCACCCTGAGCAATAAAATTACTGTATTCCAATCCACTATTTTGTACATCTAATACCTAGTTTGGCAATTTATATCGTGGACCAACGTCCACATAGCATTGTGGACCCTGGATCAAAATGATGTCATTTTGATCTACATGATGAAGAAAAAATAGATGAAATGACACTACTACCCTTGGTTATTATGACAATATTACTATTATTATTACACAAGGGTATTTTAGTCTTTATACCATTTCTTTCCTTCTCAATTCCAATAATACTATTTCTCCATGCCAAACAACGTAATTTGAATTCATACTTTATTCACACCTTATTGTTTTCCCACCGAATTACAATCTCTTTCCCTCATAATTCTTTCCTTCCAACCAAACACCCTGTAAATTTTAAAAGATTATAAGATTTCCTGTTCCTCATGTTTCTACGCACTTAATAATATATTCCAGATATATAATGCATAGTCTTAAAGTACAAAATTTCATAACATAAGACACAAAAACTCACAACAAAAGACATACACATGCTATATATTTACTTATTTTAAAATTTGATTTAGGTAGATAATTTATGTTCTATATGCGATTATGCATAGAATTTCACAACACAATACATAAATTCATAACATAAGACTCATAATATGTTGTGTGTTACACAACTACTAATCTATTCTAGATATAGAATTCATACTTGTAAGGTACAAAAATTCATAACACAATACAAAAACTCACAACGCAAGACACATACACATGTTATATATTTACTTAGTTTACACAACTACTAATTTGTTTAAACTATTGATACTCTTAAGGTGCATGGTAGATACATACACATGTTATATGTTCAATTATTTTCAAATCTGATTAGGTGGAGAATTTATGTTTTATACGTACATAATTTCACAATATAAGACATAATTCATAGCAATAAGACACATAATATGTTGTGTATTACATAACTACTAATTTGTTCCAAGTACATAATTTATACTTTTAAGATACCAAAACTGACAACACACGACATATAAACATGCTTTACAGTAAAAAAAACTTGTAACGTGAATTGAACAATAAACGGTCACCATCAAAATTAAAATTCAAAATGACGTCATTTAAAACCAAGATTTACACTACACTATAAACCATGGTTCACGATATAACGATTGACCTACTTTATGGTGGACTCGGTTCCTCTAAAATCATTGGGGACAAATACAAATATGGGTTGGATCTTAACCATGGCTCTAACCCAAAGTTTAAACCATGATGTCCCAATTTTGTTGGGCTGGATAGTCCTAAAGCCCAACTAATTCCGGGTTGAATTTCTATTGTTAGAATTAGAATTTAGAAATTCAAACGCGTGGTATCTTTTTTTTTTTTTAAAAAAAAAAAAAAATTTGAAGGCCGAAATGAGAAAAGATTTCATAAATCATAACAACAGTCGCGTCAACTTAAAGCTACTATCCCTCCTATAAACCCTTCTCTCCGCCTCTCTTCTCCTCCTCAATCTTCCTCTCTCCGCACTGAATCCAACCTGCTCCGCCGCTCAAAGCTCGCCTGCAACCTCTCCGCCGCCTCATGGTAACGTTTCTTCGTTTACTGATCTACTTCGCTTTTGCCTATCCTACTTCGTTTCTTAAGTTTCGTACGTGCTCCGTCACTTGATTTGTTCATTGTATCCGGGAGTGTATATATGTGTGTGTATTTCCATTGTCTGATCTGATTTGATTTAGGTTATATCGATTTTCTTTTGGTTTTTGAGTGGATTTGTGTTTTGTTTGTCGTTTGTAGGCTCTCCCTAATCAGCAGACTGTGGATTACCCTAGCTTCAAGCTCGTTATAGTCGGTGATGGAGGAACTGGTGTGTGGAATTTGTATATGATGTGGTTATCTGTTTTCTTTGTTGATTTGTGTCTATTTTGTCACTGGTTCTCAATCTAAATAAATGCTTCTAATTGTTGCAGGAAAAACTACTTTTGTGAAGAGGCATCTCACTGGTGAATTCGAGAAGAAATATGAGCGTAAGTGTCTCTGCGTAGTATCTTTGGTACATGATTTGTATGTATAGATGGATTAGATGCTTGATGTTCTTGATTGGATTTTTGTTTTTTTTTTTTGTTTGTTTATTTATTTATTTATTTATGATATTCATCCTGGATAAATTTGGCTGGATGACAGCTACAATTGGTGTTGAGGTTCATCCGTTGGACTTCCATACAAACTGTGGAAAGATCCGTTTTTACTGCTGGGATACAGCTGGACAAGAGAAGTTTGGAGGACTCCGTGATGGTTATTAGTAAGTTATATAATCTTTTCAATTAAAGCCTGATTAGTACAAACATTTTCAGTTTCAATTGGTTATTTATATTTATGTCTTGGATTACATATTCACAAGCATTAGATTAACAATTGTGGCTACAGATAAATGCTGCTACATATGTGCCTTACTGTAATTCTTTGTGTTTGTTATGTATGGCAAGAACTGTTTATGGCATTTGTTTTAGTATTAGTACTAGGACATCCCTTAATTTTTGTGACTGCTAAAGACATTTGTTTGCAATGTTGCCATTGGATGGTGTGTTCTTGGTTCAATTATTCTTACTTTCATAGTTTCATCTACCCTGTAATATATAGTTGTACTAAAATTACATTGTTAACATTGTACTAGATACTATGGGATGATATTTGGAATATTATGCTTCGTCTGACTGTCATAAGGTTCATTAGTTTTGGATATTGCCCCTATAAAAGGCTATCATGTATTAGTAGTACTGACTTTTGAATCCTTTTTTTTTTTTTCTGTGGGTTAAACATTCTTCCATGTTTCCACTTGCAGCATTCATGGGCAATGTGCAGTTATTATGTTTGATGTTACTGCTCGGTTGACTTATAAGAATGTTCCCACATGGCACCGTGATCTCTGCAGGTTTGCTTATTCTTATCAAGTTGTCTTTGACCTAAATAGAGCTATTCAATTGCTATTATGGATTTCTGAACATACTTTCTGTTTCTTCATACAGAGTTTGTGAGAATATTCCTATTGTTCTATGTGGAAACAAAGTTGATGTTAAGAACAGGCAGGTGAAGGCAAAGCAAGTTACATTCCACAGGAAGAAAAATTTGCAGTACTATGAGATCTCTGCTAAGAGCAACTATAATTTTGAAAAGCCTTTCTTGTACCTTGCCAGAAAGCTTGCTGGGTAGGTGTCAAAGCTGTTTTTTCAATTGAGCTTGGAAATTGTTTATTGGTTAAGCCCATAATGAAATTTGTCTATTTCTTGTCTTGTGTTCTTAGGGATGTCAACCTTCATTTTGTGGAATCCCCTGCTCTGGCTCCTCCAGAAGTTCAAATTGACATTGCTGCACAGCAAAAGTAAGACCCCTTTCTATTGTACTCTGTATATGATACTTTGGATGCTTAATTTTTGTTGTAGGCTTGCTGGTATTGTGTCTAGGTTGATCCCATAGGATTGCTTAGAGATTTGCTTAGTAACTAAAGATTGCTTTATTTAATTTAAGCATGCTAGTTATTATACACTTCCATCACTATTGGTACTTTTCCAAGCAGTATCAATACTGAAAGATACAAAAAAAAAAAAAAAAAACTCAATTCATAGATTTTTGTAAATGGAGTGTGGATTCTCATGTTCTCCTGGAACAAATCATTTTTTGGTTGTCAGTAGCACTCAAGTGTCATGATATAGTGTCTTAGATTGTCAGTAGCACTCAAGTGTCATGATATAGTGTCTTTATTTGTAATAATACTAATATGAGAAATCTAGTTCATCTCAAATCATTTGATACCAAATCCTCACTCTGGTGTTCTCTGTTCAGGCATGAGCTCGAGCTACAAGAAGCCGCCAATCAGCCACTTCCAGACGACGATGATGATGCCTTTGATTAGAGCTATATCCAAGTGTCTTCTTTGTCTTCTGCACATCTCGTGATGTTATTTGGTAGCAATGCCCTTTTAGGTTCAGTGCATTTCATAGTAGGGTTTACTTCGTCGTGACTTTTATTTTGGCTTTTGGTGCTATTTCTAGCAAACATGTTGAATGTTTTAAGCTTGAAGACATTAGTTGGCTCAATGATCCCATACCCATCTACATATTAAAGCCCATTTTGAGCTGCAGTATTTTAATATCTATCTTTTGTGTGAGAATTATCTTATAATTTTTTAAAAAGAAATGTTATATATATATATATATATATATATATATATATATATATATATATATATATTTATTAATCTTCTTGTGAGTAGGTAATTATTATTGGTCACACTATAAGTTGAAAATTAAGAATTTAAGAGCTAATTATATTAGGCGGGTGCAACGATGCTCTTAATTGAATACACTATTATTCTCAATTGAAATGGTGCGTATACCACCACTGGGTCATTGTTTTTCCCTTCAAATGTGTTTAGGGTATATGATGATAGTAATATTGAGTACACACTAAGGCTGTGTTTGGGGAAACTCAGAAAATGATTTGCTTTCTTTTTTGTTTTTAGTGTTGGCAAGGGGGAAATAATGGTTAAAGAAAATTAATTTCTGGTCAAAGGGAAAATAAGCTTTTTTTATTTTTTTTAATTACTTTTATTTATCGGGAAGTCATTTTTTAAAAAATTCAAAGCAACTTTTTTTTTTTTTGTTCTTCATCTTCTTTGTTGGTTTTCATTGAGAATCTCTGATAAACCAATAAAATTGGTTCGGAGACCCGTGAGAACTAGAAATCTAGTAAACCAGTAAAACTTGTTTGGAGACAAGTAAAATTGATTTTTCAATAGAAACCATTTACTAGTTTCTTAGTTTTTCAACAGAAACCATTTAATAATAGTTTTTGTTAGAAATCAGAAGTTTTTTCGAAGCCTCTCTCTTTTTAAATATATATGAAATCATTGCTCTTTTTTATTTTTTTTATATAAATAATATTGATTTTTAATACAAATTTTCTCATTATCCAGAAAATGATCCAAATATACTAAGACAGATTTTTAAAATGCAACCAAATACTGAAAAGAAAAATGTTCTTTAAAAAAAGATTCATTTTGCAATTTTTTTTTTATTACCAAATACACCCTAAACTCTTTTATTTTAAATCTCATAACTAGTGGTGGTGCATGTTTAATGTAATCTTCCAGTTTCAGCAAAGGAAATACTTATTTATCGAGTAATAATGTGTCTAATTTGTACCATTGATCTTGCAGGTGTAATAGTTGTTCACTGACTTCTCTAAATTGGTATATAGTGATTATGAGTAGTGCAAATAAATCCTAATTAATATTAAAATGGAAACAACCAAAATTAAATTTGGAATAAATTATACTTTTACTTGTGACATTCTCACATTTAATAATACTATTTCAATGTTGTCACATTATTGATTTTCATATATTTGTTATAATTAAGTCACATTATTGATTTTCATATATTTGTTATAATTAATCTTCTTTTTAATTTCTTGTCGTTTCATCGTTTAATAAAGATAATTAACATCACTTTTTCATTCAATTAAATGAGTTAACAAGAGAGTGAGAAATTACATGTGTAACTTTCTTTATGGAAAGTGAAATGACAAGGTAAAATTATGTTGGTGCAAGATACTTGAATAATAAATTATATGTTAATTCTCTTTATTAAGTAATAAAACAACAAAATTTACATGAAGTAATTATCGAAAAGAGTTAATTTTAAGAATGGTCCTTAAACTATTAACATTAATCAATTTTTATCATTGAATTTCAATTAAAACGTAAATAACCCAGTAACTATTGACATTTATCAATTTTCATCATCAACTTTCAAATTGACTACAAATGGTCAATTGATTATTGATTTTGTTCCAAATTTGGTCATCTAGTTAAATATGCATTTATTAAACATTAAATTTAAGGATAACAATGAAAAATTGACTTGTTGAGATGGGCAAAGTTGATTTCATAAACTTAATATATTGGGTTTATCATTAGTAGAATGTGAAGAATCAGATTATATTATTATCCTTAAATTTGATGTTAGTAAATGAATATTTAACTGGATGACTAAATAAATTTGAAACAAAATCAATAGTCAATGGAACATTTATGGTCAAATTGAAAGCTGAGAATGAAAATTGGTGAATGTCAATAGTCAAGGGAGTATTTATGGTTCAATTAAAAGTCGGGAATAAAAATTGATAAATGTCAATAATCAATGGACAATTCAAGGAATTAACTCTTATGACAAATATTCTCAAAAAAAAAAAAAAAAAAAAAAAAAAAAAAAAAAAAAAAAACTCTTGTGACAAATAAGTGAAAATCAATGATGTAATAAGAAAAAAAAAATAAAAGCATGACTAAATGTGACAATAATATAATAATCGAGGAATAAAAAAAAATTTGTTCTTAAATCCATGTCAATTCAAATCGAAACATTAAACAAGAGGAGGTAAAACAAGCATGAGGTATAAAACAATCATTTATTAGGACTAGCATTAGGACTTTGTATTTGAGTCATCATATGACTCCCTATCCTAGTCGTAGATCTCCAACTTACCTCCTAAAAGTCCTGAGGTTCCTATGATTCCTCTTGTATATATACCCCCTCTATGTATAGTTGTAATAACAGTTCATATAATACACTTTCTCTCATTTCTCATCTGGTATCAGTTAAGCAAGAGTTTTCTTCCTTTTTTCTCTAATGGCTGACGGATCTGTTAACTCCTCCGAACGGACCATTTCCAATGCCCCTATCTCATCTTCTGCTAGCTCTGTTGTTACATCGCTTTCTACTGCTCATCACTTTGTCAATATTAAGCTCACCCATAAAAACTACCTGTTTTGGAGAACTCAAATCGTACCGTTTCTTGATGGACATGGTCTCATGTTGTTCGTTGATGGGACCAATCCAGTCCGCCGTCGCCACCCCCACGGTGACTGCCGGAATTCGACCAGTCACTGCTGCTTCCACGCTGACCGCCGGAATTTTTACCTCGGCCGCCTCGGTTATTACCGCGACCACCACGGCGGTTTTGACCGCCACCGCCGCCGCGCTGCACGGCAAACGCCGGTGGCGGACTACCAGGAACAGTCCCCTGGATGAACTCTTAAGCACCAAGGAAATCAGCAAGCTCACCTAGGGTTACGTGTTGACCGCGAACTAAGAGAGATTCGGTTAGGTTTTGAAACTCCGACCGTAACCCCCGAAACACATAAAAATTCATCTCGTCTAGCACAATTGGCCTACCGGCCAAAGCAAGATCCTCCAAAATAACACGGGCACGACCAATATAATCAGCAACCGTGGAATCTCCCTGGCTCAGAGACTGTAGTTGGCCAAGGAGATTTAACGAGCGGGCGCGAGATGCGGAAGTCAAAGATTGTTTAATAGACTGCCAAACCTCCCGTGACGTACGACGACCAACGACGAGGTGCCTAATTTCTTCACTGAGAGAAGAAATCAACATAGACATAAGAGCCCGATCATGCTGAAACCATGTTGCATGATCGGAATTTGGCGTCGGCAAGCCTCCTTCGACGGCGGGAAGGAAGGGCTGCGGACTGGGATTGGTCCCATCAACGAACGACATGAGACCATGTCCATCAAGAAACGGTACGACTTGAGTTCTCCAAAACAGGTAGTTTTTACGGGTGAGCTTAATACTGACAAAGTGATGAGCAGTAGAAAGCGATGTAACAGTAGAGCTAGCGGAAGATGAGATAGTGGCATTGGAAACAGTCCGTTTGGAGGAGTTAACAGATCCGTTGACCATTAGAGAAAAAAAGGAAGAAAACCCTAGCTTAACTGATACCAAATGAGAACTGAGAGAAACTGTATTATATGAACTGTTATTACAACTATACATAGAGGGAGTATACATACAAGAGGAATCATATGAAGACCAGGGCCAGCCCTGGGTAAGTCTGCCCAGGGCCAGCGCACAGGGCCCCCAAATTTTGGCGGCCCCATATTTTTTTAAAAAAAATTAGTGTATATATATATATACATCGGCAGCTGCGGCTTCGAACAAAGACAAGCAACTAAGCGACAAACTCAAAACCTATCTTAAATCCCTAATTTAGCGCCTAGCGGCAGAGAGATTAGAGACTAACCTAGCGGCAGATAGAGATTAGAGACTAGAAAGTATCATTCTATACGGAGTACACGTACGTTGATTCTGACATTGTGTAGTGTTAATTCTTCAAATTTCAATTGCATTATTTGCATTATTGAGGCTACTGTAATGTTAATTCTTCAAATTTGAATTGCATTCTTAATTCTTTGTTGTTTGTATTCTTTATCTAGTAATTTAAATATTCAATTTGGTTATTTATTTGTATTTTTTTTAACATACAAACTCTCAAGTTATTCAATTTTCTTGATAGGTAATTAAAATTACGTATTGCTTCATAATTCTTGTTTATTGTTTTATTTACATGAATTAATAATTCTGATTTCGCTTTTATTTGACATATATGATCAGAAATTGGGATGCCCTTGATTCTAGATTAATAGATATTCTTGTGAAAGATGGTCCTAAAAGAGACTTATCAATAAATAAAGGTCCTAAAGATAAATTTTCTAGAAGATTTTCATATGCATTTTACATAAGATATTTGCCAAATGGAGCGAAGTGTGATCGAGATTGACTTGTATATTCAAAAGAACTTGACAAGGTGTTTTGTTTTTGTTGCAAGATTTAAAAAAAAAAAAAAAAAAAAGTATACGAAAAGGTGTTTTGGTCAAGGAAGGTTTTAGGGACTGGACACATCTTGGTCTTAGACTTGAAGAGCATGAAACGAGTGTAGATCATATAACTAATATGACAACTTGGATGGAGTTGCGTCTTAGATTACAAAAAAAAAATGAGGCAATTGATAAACGAGTGTACATCATATAATGATCGAGTATGTTGCAAGACAGACTCAATGGATTAGCTTTAATCTCTATTGAAAATGAGATTTTGGAAGAAGTTGATATCAAAAGTTTGGTGGATGATTTTGCGTCTAAGTGTGCAGTTGTACACGGCGCGTGTCACTTTTTAAATGAAATTTTAGATATATTTAATTTTTAATTTATACAATATTTATGTTTGAATTTTTTTACACAACTATTATTTATATATAAAAATAACTTGAAAAAAGGGTCCAAATTAAGATATTGTACAGGACCCCACTTTTTATTGGAATGGCCCTGATGAAGACTAGGATAGGGAGTAA